CTTATAGCAAAAATATACAAGGGCATGTTTTGATGTGAGTGAATTTATTATTGAAATAATTCGTAATTTTGTTTATGTGCAGTAGTGCCCCCTTTTTTTCATAGAATGCATAATGTGTAAACATTTCATCATTGATAAGTCTGCATCTGGGTACATGTTTTGCTGTCTTTAAAAATTCATGACTTTATGTGGTTTAACTTGCATAAAGAATTTGTTTATCTACAGTTTTTCAGATATGAGTTCAAATTTAAATGCAGTACCAAGTGTCCTTTTTAGCGAGTATTTACATTTAGTGGAGTGAGCCAGCTTGTTTGCTTTAGTGAGAAATAGGGGTAGATTCTTAAAAAAATAGCATCTGTAGAGTTTTTTTTTTTTCATTAAAAATAGAAGGCATGCTAAAGAGAAAAAAAAAAGGGGGCTAAAGGATAGAGAAGTTTTCTTGCAATAAATCCAGAATTTCAATGCTGTCATTGTTTGTTACTGCTTGTTATCCAGCTACGCATGCACAAAACATAATGGCAGAATTAGTGTATTTCAGTTCGGGAAAGTTTTTTTGCAAAATTTTTTTAACTCTTCCCCTCCTCTCAAGAACTTATTGTTTCCTCAACTGAAACAAAAATATCTAGCAATTTAGTGAATTTTAGCATATGTAGTTGAAACAGCTCACAAATAGGGGTGTCACTTTTCAAGTTTGTAAGTTTGGCATCATTCTAGAAGAGCAGTTTCAATATCTTTTGATTTCCGATTTCTTTTGTTCTTCCTTGAAACAGCTGCACATTTTTTAGTTATTCTTCAATATAAATTCTTTACGTAATTTGTATAATGCTGTTTTGGAAATTTTGGAGTTTAATTGTAGCTCCTCTTAGTCTGTACAAAGCATGATCATCATCTTATTTTAGCAATATATCCTTCTTTTTCACACTGAAACCTTTTTGTTTGGCCATTTTTAACTGCACTCAACCAATCACAAAATGCTTCCTCTGGTGATATGTCCAGATTTAGCAAGTTATTCAGTGTTACCAAGATTGCACTTCATCGCTTAAGTCATATGCTAGATAGTATGACTGATGCTCTCTGTATTTCTCTTTTAGCCTATAATAAATGTCTTTTCATGCAAAGTCTGATAATGGAGAGATTTAAAAAGTTTTGAAAATTCCAGATCATGTGTAAATTTTCATTAAGTAGTTCACGGTCATTTATAGGAATTAATAGGATACTTTGGGACTAAAGAATAAAGTTTGTGAATTTGAGTTTTTATAAACAGCAAAGATATGGTTTTATTGTCATAAAATAGTTATATATATGTATATACACTGAAGAGCCATTACATTATGAGTACCCTCCATGTATAACAATGGGTTTTCCCAGGAACAAAACCACTGCACATGCACGGCTGATGTTGGAGTATATAAAGCAGCTGATTTATAAAGGCTCGTCTACACGAAGTGATTTTCTCGGCCTAATTTCTCGTAGAGCAACAAGTTTAAGGATCTGCGCATGCATGAAAAATCGGTCATGTTCTCTGCCACAATTTGAGAACTGGTGTTCACTATTCACTAGCATACGATAAAATCAAAGTCTCTAGCCAATAAGATTGCTTTGAGTGATCATGTACTTTTTCTCCTCATTTGGAATAATAAACATGGTTGTATTTCGTTGGAGCATAATTTTTAAAAATTTTGCTGCAAAGTATATAAATCACATTGCATTGTTCGTAAATATTTAATGAATTCCACCATGTCTTCAATATGCAACTCCCGGAGCTGGAATCATCATGGATTTCACCACCAATTTTATGTTCACCATGAATTTCTCGTCGTTTGACCCAATTTCTGGTCCAAATGCATTTTCTTTTTTTTTTTCCCTTTCTGCAGTAGTAGCCGAGTTCAAAATTGTAGCTGTAGTAGCAATTTAAAGTAAAATAGTCATCCATTATTTTGACTATTTTAACAACACCGTAAGCTTTGTTTACAAATTGTAGACAGAGTGGCACTGTAGAGAGCGGGAACACTTCCTTTCACAGTTATTGGCTGAGTGAATGAGTGAATTCCTGTACTAACAAGAAAATTGTTCTGTGTGGATGAGCTAAGTCGGCTGAGGAAATCGCTATGTGTAGATGGACCTTTATTCTTAAAATTTCTCATGATTTTTACGTAGCTTGGGTTAATACTTCATTATTTGCCCACAAAAATGTGATTTTTGGCATCTGAAAGCCCTTGTTTTTTTCTACATGCATATAAAAAAGATTGAAGTAGTTTCATTTCTGCGTTATGTATGAGAGTCTGAAGCACGTGTTCAAAAATGTCGTGTCCTAGTTTTCCAATGAGAATCAAGTGCTGTTGCAGGTTGTCTGGCATATTTTAGCCAATGAAACAAAGCAAAAGCAAGGTTGTTTATTTCGTTTGTCTTGTCAGTGAGTAGCGTAAATTTCTTGTGCTTCTCTGAAACAGTTTAAGAAACTATGATCTTTTACATTAGTTATGTCTGTGAAAAATGTGAAATGCTCATGTCCTTTTCAAAAATCGTACACAGTTGACTTTCCTGTTATTTTGCCAAAGAAATATAACATTGCAATCTGCATCGTTTGCCATTATGATTTTTCAATTTCGCACGGTGGAAGTAATGTTCTTAAACATGCGTATACACAAGGACAATGCAAGCTGTGCTGGAAAAAAAATTAAACTTTTCTGTGGAAGCTAAGAAACAAAAAGATTAATGCAGAATGTCTGTTCTCTGCCTTTTTACTGGAGCACAACCTGCCTCTGAATGCTGCGGCTTTTTTAGAAAAGTGTTTCCCGGCATTAAAAATCGCTAAGAAATACTCAGATGCAAGGACAAAAACTGTTTAAAGTTAAAAACTAAAAAAAGTTTTTAAACTTTTTTTTTATTTTCAGGCGTTAATAAGTTACTATTTAAAGTTAATACATTATTAAAATATATTTTCTCCTAAATATTTTTATTATTTAAAATACCTTTTTTATTATTGAAAAATTCTCCTGATTTCTTAAAAAGATATGATTTCTTAGTGTCATAGGTTGGCAAGTATGAAATTCTCTTCTCACAGTAAAGTACCCCATAGTTTACTGTTTAATATTAAGAAATTTAACTGTCATTTAAACTACTGATATGTAATTTTTTTTGGACAAAATGAGTTAGAAAACAGTCCAATAAAGGGAATATTGTATGTGGCTGACAATGGTTGTAGAAAATTGTACCAATTCAATTAGAAACCTGCAAAGGGCCAAACATTTAAGCTTGCCATAATAGCCAGGCATAAGTATATATTATTTTTCCTTAGTCTATCCTGCTTAAGCATTCCTTTTCTAAGTTGTCCTGGAGCCAGTATCTTTAAACCCCTTAAGGACGAGCGCCGGGAGAACGGAGCTCAGTCACAGGACCGGACCCGCTAAAATGGATTGTCGCCACCAGCTCGCGCATTTTCAGCAGTTAAGCATAATTTTACAAAAACAAACAAACAAAAAAACTTATAAAATCAGCATTTTATTATTAGGACTTCAATTTTTTAAGTTGCTTATTTAATGTACTTGTTTTTAATGTGTATTAATATAAAGAATATCACACTAATAATAGAAGAAAAGTAAACAGGAAAAGTACTAAAATCATAACTATACACAGAAATAAGTACTGAACATGAAAAAAAATTACAAATACGAAATGAAATTAAAAAAAAAAAAAAAAAACTAGACAAGAATTACATGTAGTTAATTAAATTCCAATTTAAAAATTCTGCTGTGTGTGAAATAATTCAAAACAGGGATTGACACGCAGTCCTACATTGCATATTTTGCACTCAAAATATGTTGTTTGCTTTCACTTTTCCTTGATTTTAGTGCACACAACGCATCTTCTGCTTTTATTACCTTTTCCGTCAATGTAAATTTTTGGAACCTGTCTTCCAGTTAGACAGAAAGGTGGAGTGTCAGGTGATTTTTCACATATTTTTTAAGTTTTTAAGTAAAGTCTCTTAGCCATGGCTAACAGAATGAAACTGAATATAACCCCAGCACGTGCCCCAAAATTTTTTCAAAAGACACTTCGAAATATTTCAGCCTCAAACCCTCTGTGACAGCAGGTTTATATTCAAAAACTTCCTGTTTTTCTAAATCAAAAACAGCGTCCACGATGACGGGAAAGTGATCCAAGGAAAGACCTCCACTGGCGGGATATCTGTTACTGATCACATCAATATATACATTATATGTAAATACATTATATACCAAAATATAATGCCTGTGTCATATATAATGACCTATTAAATCGAGTAAGAAAAACAAAAACGCTGGCTCTTTCCTGAGAAATGTGAGCAAGACGCATACACGTCGAGAAAGCTGATGGTCTTTCCCCGTTTGTAAATAATGTTGTAATGTTACTTTTTTAATTAACCAAGAAAGCTTATGTTAAGTTCCAAAGTAAATAGAAAAACAAAAAAAGAAAGAAAGAAAATCCTAACTCAAAACTAGAAGCACAAAACAAACTAATGCCAGTACATGAAGGTCAATGCCGTATGAATCAACCTATGTGAAAACGGTTACCACTTAGCTCCATTTACTGGCTTTCAAAAAAATTCAAATAAATCATTCAATTTTAGTGTCACGTATGCGCGAAGCTGGGCTGGTAGATGTGGAATCGTTGCGCCTCGTATATGTGACACTGGTCCTGAGTGGGTTAAGATTGTCATGAGTATAATGTTAATTATGCAGAAAGGTAAAACTCATGAGAGGCTTCATCTGCTGTATGTTGTTATCTCTTACAGAGTTGGTTTTATTTCATTTACTTTGTTCTGAAATGTATTATGATGCTTTCTTGAAGTTGTATAAATTTTGTGCAGCACTGTTGAGAAAAAATTAATTCCTAATTTGTAGGATTAGTGTAGTTAACATTTTTGTGTCAAATTTAAAACTTTGCATTTTGTCTATAATAAATGTATGTATGTGTGCATAAAAGTTTTCCTAATTAATTGTTATAATTTTTATTTGTAGTGTGGAATGACATTGAGAAAAGCTCCAAAAAGGAATGGTAAGGCAATTTTTATTTAATTAATATGTAAACCAAGTTAACTCATTGAATTTTTTTTTTAATCTTTAATTCTTTGTTTCTTTGGTAATTTTGAATTAAGAGCTTTTCTTTTCATCAAATCCATGCATGCTATTTGTTTAATGTTTGTCACTGTAGTTCGGAAAATTGTTAACATTTAATTATAGATACCAATTCATCATATAGTTGCAAGCAGTTGAAAAAATATGCTGTTGTATTTCTAAGGCAAAACATATTCCCTTCACTTTGTTGGGTAAACATAAGTATTCTTGATCTTGTTTTTATAGCACATTTTGAAAACAAATTGATTCCTGTGCCTCTGGTCCCATTCTTATTAAAATATAAGGTACGACACGCACAAAAAAGGAGACTGGTCCTATAAATCATTGTACTTACAGAATTAGTTTCTCTGTGGTAGTATCACCTTCAAAGTAGTCCCCTTCAGCATTCACACACTTCTGCATTCAGTGCTGCCGTTGCTGGTAACAGTTCTGGAACAAGGTTTTTGAAAGACCCTTCAGAAGATTCTCTCTTTTTGCCTCTTCAACTGAGGTGAAATGGCTTCCCTTTAAGCAAGATTTAACTTTTAAGATATAAAAAAAAAAAAAAGGTGCATGGAGCCAAATCAGTTGAATAAGGAGGATGCCCAATCACAGCAGTGTTTTTGCTGGTCAGAAACTGCTTGACAGATACGGCTGTATGGGTGCATTGTCCTGGTGCAACAGCCATCTATCACTCTAGAACTGTGGCCTTTTTTCCTTAATTTTTTTATGAAGTCAGTACTTCAGTGTAGTAGTGTTGATTAACAGTCTGACCTCTGGGAACACGCTCGGTCATTTAACATTGCCTTGAATTTTTATTTTGGCATGCGTGTTTTGTCCCTTCCCCCTGAAAACCACATGCACATACACATGCACGAGACAAAGTTTCATCTCCATAAACCTCAGTTAACCTTTGAAATGCTTCCATGGCTGATTTCTTAAGTTTCATAAAAAACTTGTTGATTCGCTGTTCAGTTTATACATTAGACATTTTTTCCGGCAGAATGCAGTTGCACATGTTCACTCAATGAGGCAGTACTCCCAACTGGTGCGATCCGTTAAGTCAAAACTGGCCCCATGGATAGAGGAGGTGAGTGGGATGACGTCACCAAAACTGTTGTCTCCACCAAAACTCCACTCTTTTTTGAAGCTACACACTTAAACTTGTTTTTTCTTTGGGTCGCACCTCATATATCATATTTATTAAGATGACCACTGAAAATTAAGTAAAAAATTTTTATTTATTTATCAGAGCTAAAGAATGCATTAATATGGGGATCATTAAGTAGTCACTTTTATAGCAATCGCATGTTTTGGCAAAGCCTCGGTAGTTGCTTACTCATGTCACCATTTATTAACGCCGGTAAGAAGTGCTGCATTGCATGACCGGGACCCGAAGCTGGGTCGGTTAATGACGAGTAGAATAGTCTATGTATAGTTTTCCGGTTTGTTCTTACTAGATTGTTTCACTGCTACTATTCCCCCTATTTAAAGTTTGTATGTATGCATATATAGTGATGATAAATATGTATATATAATTACAGAACAATTTGAAGAAAACATAATATAATCATGCCTAGTATTTTCACACATTAAGTTGCTGAAAAATTTTCAGTTAAGTCAGAAAGTAAGAAGTTTAGAACCAGTTTTCCACAAAGACCAAAAATTGAAATTCATAAGTAATAAATTTCATAAAATCCTATAAATGTAAAAAAATAATAAATCTTAAAACTAAAATACTTCAAATAAATAATACCCTAATTCAAAAAATCAGTGAAATTTAAGGAATAAAGAATATAAAGGGATTCAATCAACCTCAATGCTACTTTGTCGCAATGTACTTTGAAATCAATTGAAATCTCTCTTCCATAAAAAATCCTTGCTTTTCTGTGTCCAGAATTAGCAGATGAACCAATTACGTTAAAAATATATTTTAGGGTGCTCCTTGGTGAAAATTGCTGATTTTTGGCAGTTGGACAGCAAGGCAAAAGGCTGCTCCACAAAACCAAAATAACAAGTCAAAGAATTACATAAACTCATTGTCTATCTACACATCAATCTATTTTCACTTAAAAAGACATCAGAGAATTGCACAAAGTCGGCATTGCATGTTCCCTTGACTTTGTTCATGTACGTTTCGATCTATTGTCACTTAAAAATCGAAAGAGCACCCAATTCGACACTAGAGCCAAACAAAAAATATACAATCTTAATAAACTGCATTTTAAATCAAACAATGAAGATCATCACACAATGAAGGATAAAAAAGGAAATAATCTTATGCCATCTACGTACTACACAAAGGAAATATCCACTTGCCTAATTTAGAAATTTTTGTGTCTTCAGTCTGTGGCACACAAAATTCCTTAACAGCATCTAAAAACTTTCCTCAAATCATGTTCTCTTTCTAATGGAATGCTTTATATGGAGAGCATTTGACCTTTCTTGCGACAAATGTATTCAAAGGCCATCGGAACGATCTTTATGTTCGACCATACGCATTTACTACTTAAAGCTTATAAAGGCTACTAAATAAACTTTCATTTACACACCAGTCAAATACTGCTTTTCTTCCCTTTCGTTCCAAGTCATAAGGAACTTCAAATTAATTTTCTCACATACAGCCATTTTACTGTATAAAGCACAAAATAAGCAATGTACTTCCTAACCAACATCCAGCACATAAATAAGCCCTTATAAATATTTTCCCATCAGTCAAATTCACTGCAGTCACGCAAAAAATCACGTCATAATAGGAATTCCATAACATTCAACTATTCAGTTACCATGAATGATACAACATGGCAATAATTTAAGGGGCACCCAAAAATATAGACTAACCCCATTTATATATATGCGTACAAAGTCTGTGTAAAAAGCATCTGAGCTTTGACTGGAAAAAATATATTACTTACATAAGAGGATTGGGACTTTAATCCCCTTCAAAGTTGCCCCTTACGCTTCCACACACTTAGACTACCATTCCTTCGGCTGCCGAAAATACTTCTGAAAGTTTTCTTTTGGAATTGTGTTCAGCTCCACTGTCGCGTTCAGCATTATCTTTTCTCTTCTGTGAAAACAGAATCCTTTTCATGTCATCTTAAATTCTGTAACAACCAGAAGTCTCAGGGAGCCATGTCTGGAGAGTAAGGAGTTTGGCAAACAACTGGAGTTCAATGTTTTGCAGAGAAAGGCTGTATCCAGGTGGGATGAATGAGTTGGAGCATTATCATGATGCAACTTCATTTTTCAACACATAGTGCTCTGTACTTTAGCACCAAACTGCATCACAGAGTCGTTGGAGAACTTCTTGATAGTATTCTTTTGTCACTGTTTGTCCTTATGATGCACATTAGTAATGCACAATTCCTCAGATATCAAGGAACATGATTAGCCATCACCTTGACTTTGCTTCTCACTGTTGTGCTTTTTTTGCCTTTGGGCATCCATGAAGCTTCCATTGCAACGACTGAGCTTTTGTTTCTATGTCATACCTGCACACCCATGACTCATCTTCAATTATCACAGTTTTTATAAAACTCAGGGTCACAGTCAGTAATGCCAAGCAGGCTTTGTGCAACCTTAAAATGGAGTTAGTTCTCTTTGTTTTGCCGACAAAAATCTGGGTCTTAAATTTTGCAGCCATTCTGTGCATGTTCAAATTAGCGTGCTAAATTGTGTGTGCAGATCTTAATTGATCTCATCCTGGCAATCTTTTTTGTGCAATCAAAGGATGATCTCTCATTAGTTTTTTTTTACCCTCTCAACAACAGCCACATTTCTAGCCATTTTTGGCCTCACGAACGCTGATCACTCTCCACTGATGTCTGGCTATTTTTTAAGCAGTTGAACCACTCTTTAATTTGTGTTACTCTCATAGCATCGTCTTAAAAAATCTGCTGAATGTTTTTCTTTCACTTTGCGAATCAGCAAGTTTTTGACAAAATTTGATGCAATGTCTCTGAAGAACACTGATGAACTACAAAAGTAGTTCACTCAATGGCCAGTAGGCAATGACGGACTCACTAGAATCAAAAATTGAAGCATGTGCTTAAAGCTGTCTCATTCCATTGTGCACAGTAGTGCTGCCTAGTATCGCTGCCATGCATGGGAAAATTCAAGGTCTGATACTCCTTATAGTGTAGTTTGACTCGTGTATATACAGTCAAATTGTACTATAAGAAGCTTCAAGGGTCCAAAGTTAATTTTGCTATGATCATTACTCATAAAGAAATGGCTTTCTCTTAAAAATATAACTTTGAATCACAAAAAATTGATTAGCCTTGTAACATGTACCAAGAGAAGTGAATAATTTTTAGAAAAATTATATTAAGTGTAATTATTATCATTAATTTTTTTATTCTTCATCTTTACTATGCATTAATAATTTTATGCCATAAATTGCATAGCATAAAAGTCATGTTTCAGATCTTTCCCTCTAAAATATGCATTTTTAATAATGAATAATCATATTCATGACACAAGATGAACTCCTGAGATCTGTGTATCTAGGTTTTCTAAGAATTGGATGCCACAGCTGCCTTGAATATGCCTTTATTTAGAACACAGGAAAAAGTAAATGTGAATATACAGGGGTTGTAAATTAAATAGTGGCAACTTAACCTTGAAACTCACAGAAGGGTGGGCATGCGCAAATAGGGTATGGAAGCGGTGAGGTTGCGCTGTTGTCAACGTGTAGAGTGCAAAAAACAGTCGATCTGGTTAGAAGGGTAGTTGTTATGTGGCCTTAAAGTGAGGAGTTTCGTTTCCATCGCTCTAAACTTTGTTTTCAAAAGTTGGTCAGTGGTCAAGGCTTAAAATCGAGGTTGCCCGAGGCAAAAATGCAACAGAATGCTACCAAGGATTAGAGGAAGCCTGTGGCACAAATGCTTTATCACAGTAGCACAATGGGGTCAAGCATTTCGTTTGGGTTGGAATGAG